TGATCGATTGATTAAACGCCACGCCGAGAAGTGATTCGATTTTTGTATCTGAACACTAAAATCTCCAGCTGAAAGTACATGCTCATTTTGGAGGATTTCAAATGCCTCAGTATGAAGGCTTTAGATTTCAGTCACAGATATGCTCGAACTAGAACTTCCAAACATGGAAAGGCCATATATTTTGCATTTGAGAAAAGGCACACAAAAAATATTAAAATTGCGCCGCGAAGATCACTGAGTTACTTCCTATCAACCTTCAAGTAGATTTAAGATCGACGCAATCGTAGGAGACCACAGATAACACGATAATCAACTTTTTCTTCATTCGTATTTCTCGCACTATTTCACATACGCACAATATTATGGAGGCGAAACCCTGATTGCTTGAAGCCTAATAATGCGAATTCCGGAATATTCTTCTTCATGTTTACCCCTACCACTGTACAGTAATCATCTCACCTAAGCAGTCGCACCCATTTCTCTATTTGGACTCAGCTGTTTAAAGCATTGGGTTTCTGAGCGCTTTTAGCCTCTTTCTTCGTGAAATATCCGAAAAAATATTCATAGTTCTTAACAGCGCGAAAAAAATTGTTGTAGAGCGCCAATAATAACGAGTCAATCTGAGGTTCAGCAGCTGTAAATTCATCAACTATCTACTTTCTTATCTACTACTCCTAGATCGGACTCCAGAGACAACCGAGCTCCCTGCACCTTGAGGTGACCCAGGGGATATGGAAATACAAAAAAGAAATAGAGTCTAACGAAGCTTCGGTCATTTGATTCACTGTCTGGGCCAAGAGACTCATACAACTGCTCCCACAACTTTTAACAAAAACCAGAGCCACGGCGCACCCTGTGGGAAATGTCAGTGATGGGCCAACAGCAAAAACTTCACCATTCGGTTTTTTCGTCTACATATGTACCCAGAAATGTGAAAAGATCGAAACAAGTATCTAAACGATCCGAATCGATAAAATCGATGAACCATCACATTCATATTCATTTGTATATATTGCCACTTTTGTACAGTGTTCTTTTTCAATGTACAATTTGTAACAATAATATCAACATGAAAAGTAAACAAATTACCGGCGTGAAAATTAGTGCTGCATACTTGCGAGCAACACGCAATTGGCACCAATCAATCAATCAATGAAAAAATCAATATGAATCAATATCAATACTCGTACAGAACAAGTCAAAACTTGTAGGGAGTGAATAGTTGAATAGTTGCATTTGTTTTGTGGTTCTGTATTGCAATTGGCCAGCACCGAATTTGTGAAGTGAATACAATTAAATTGAGCTCGTTAGTACTATGTACATATACAAAACTATATCGTACTATAACTATTACTAACGCCATAAATTATTAATGATAAATGATTTTAAGTTGTTTGGCATTGCATCACTAAGTGATAATTAATTACAACTCTAGTTTACGGCTCATTTTCTTATGAAATTTGAGTAGAGCAGGAGCAGACGCGCGCGGTTGCGCTGCGGCACAACCTCTTTAACGGTTGGGCCTCATCACAACACGTGCGCACCTGTCTAGACTTCAAGAGTAAGCATGATAGTGAAATTTTACAAAAAATCAATATATCATGTTCGGTATTGCGCCAAAACAACTCTACTAGTTTACAAAAGTAGTACGAATACAAAAAATCGTACAACAGATGTGAATGGAAGACCCTGGACTAGAAAAACTCTTCACGAAGTTCGTTCCAATGGACGTCATCGTACTGCCTGACATCATCGACAAAGAGAGACACCGTATTCGCATGAGGTACACGTATAGATTTAATCGATTGGAAATATTGATCGTACTATACTACTGTGGTCAGTGAATGTTGGGGAGTGGCTTGAAAAATTCCTAATGACGACATATCCGAAACGACCTGCAATGGTCGATGTCGGGAAAAATGTAGAGGCGTGTTGTTGTTGTTGTTGTTGTTTTCGACGTTCGTGACTTCAGGCTTCGGCGCCGGCTCTTCTACGATCATCGTCTGGTCTTCTGAATCCGTCGATGACGTCATCGGATGTGGCACGTGTTCAGGTGTGATATGCTCGTGTACTGTGTCCAGTTCACGATCGAATGATTTGAATACGAGTGATCGTTTCCGAGAACGGACAGCCAGATTGTAAGCCGACACGCTCTTCACCGGTATCTTCAAAATCGACGACGAGACGGAGCTGAAAACAGAGGGAATCAATGATCCAAACGGTTACTGTTAAAAATCTTCCAGTATGATACGTTATCACAGGACCCTATCAAACTTACTTATCCATTTCTTCCTCCTCGTTGATATCATACGTGGAATAATACATGTTGGTTGTCGCCGTCGTTGCTACGGACACAGAATCCGAAAGCATCGACGCCCGTTCTTGAGAGTTCACTTCAGCGCTCGTCACAGACAGATAATCAGCCAACGACGATGATGACATGTTGTCGTACCGGGAGTTGAGCCGTGTTCGAGGAGCTGAAGGAAACATGTTTTCAGAAAAAAGCTACTTGGCTAGCCTAGCATTTGCTTGTCTCTTTATGCTTTTACACATTTCGATTCACCTAAAAGTCTTAAGGGTCGCTGTTATGATTACGAGACAAGCCTTCCGTTCAAAGGATGTGGGTGTTCAGGATAAACTGGGCTGCAGAAACGTGATGTCTATGGTAAAGGTATGAACGAAGAAAGAGACAAAGAGTAAGCAATGAAAAATGCTTGAAAACTGAAAGTAGGGGATGTGGTCTTTTATCACGAGCTGACGAGTTTTCGTGTACTCCACCAGAACAGAGTAGTTCTCTCAAGATACCTTCAGCCACAAATGTTCATATTATCTATCATACTATCTAGTTTAGCACAAGGATTTTTTTTGCCAGAGTGGAACCAGCTCATGGAGGACCTTGGGAACAAAAACCTTGCTTGCCCTAGTCCCTCATGACCCTGCTTCATCAAGAACTTGAGAAAACCCGAGGTGAAAGGTCAGCTGTGACAAAGGGTACCAATATGGCTTTCGAGTTTGATCTCATAGAAACTAGCCGACTCAATAAAAGGATACCCAAAGATCTTTTATATAGGATCGCCTCCCTTTGATGGACGAAGACGTTACTTCTGCACCCACTAGCCCTAGCCAATCATTGAATATGCAGATATGTATGCTTCAAAATAAGTTGACAGCTTTGAGCGGAGTCAAATTCATGGCGCATCAAATTGGCGCTAACCATTTATCCCTAAGCTATAGCGTGAATATTTGCTATGCTCACCTAAGCGAGACGTCGGCGCCTCGTCACCAGACTGGATGGTGCTGGCAGCAGTGACCATTGTACAGTTGCTCAGGGCATCGGATTGGTCTGACTGAGGAGACAATGGCTTGTCTGCAGCAACAGCAGCTATTTTTTCCATCGTCAGGATTACATCGTTCAATTGCCGGTCCTCTTCGACTGCTCCTCGAGCCTCTTCGGCTGGCGTGCGCGGTGAACGTTCTTGGGCTGAAAAACGACAAGTCAATGAGACATGGGTGTACTTAACTCGTGTACCACTTCAAACCTTGTGCTCGCCCCAGCGTGCGATCCAGTACGGCTTCGAACGTTTCCGTATACACTGGCATCTTTTTATTAACCCATGGATGCTGTCGTATCGTAGTCAACGAGGCACGTGAACCAGCAGCCGTCGTCAGACATGATTTTATTAATTGGCAACATTCTGAAACTTACTGGAAAGATAGATTTTGGCAATCAATGTAAATCAATGGTGCCTAGCCCCAAAAGAACATTGCCAATTATGATTATGTAGCCCGGCTAGCCAACAAAGTAAAGGTATTTCACTAACCTTTAGATAGGTACGACGGGAATTTCACTCGTCCTAAGCAGATTTGGATCTCATTCTTGAATGGCAGCTGTCCCGTAACCAAAATAAATAGCAGTACACCTAACGACCAACTAGTCGCCTCCAACGGCAGGTACTGCAGTTGGCGGAACCATTCCGGTGGGCAGTATGATCGCGTACCTGTAAAACTAATCGAAATAAAAGATGTCATGGATAAATACGAGACGAAACTTCATAGGGAGAGCCAACATTAAATCTCCGACTATTCCGAATAGAAATTGAATTCGTTAGCCACACATTACAGCGGGACTGATTGACGTCAAAACTATTAATACATATTATTTACTGTACTGCATAAAAGTAATCACTAACTGCTCCCGAAAGAAGGGGCATATTTCTGGCATTAAATGACCTAGTCGATTAGCCTAACTTCAACAATCGCTGTCAAGTCAAATTTCGGATTTATGCTGTGGATTTCATTCCGAGATAGTAAGAGAAGCCGAATACTTCATCCCCTAATCGTTTAAAGCCCACCTTGGAACTCCTTCTTCATCGCTTTTTCCGCGGAAGCTGTCGCTCCAAAATCTACGAGTTTCACTTCGCCGTTCATCATATTCACAATCAAATTTTCGTCCTTAAATTGAAAACGAATAAAAAATATGAATTCTTGTTGGTTCTTCACAGCTATTGCGTTGGAGCCTCTGATTATCGGCTCCTCAGCCTTTGCTAGCTGCTAGAAAGATGAAAACACTAGAAAATAAACAAAAATGTTTAATTTAAGTTAAAGTAAAGCTTTACCTTGATGTCTCGATGAATTAGGCCATGCTTAACGTACATTGCACATACGGAATCCACTACTTGGATAAAAATACCTCGTGCCGAATCTAAAAACAATTTTTCAGAAACTTTAATGCAAAACCAGTAAGTAAAACTCCTATAATCCAAAATGATTTGACGAAACTTCACTATGACCCATCACAAAATATCATTCTGAACTTTACCACCTGAAAAATCTTTACCACAATTAATCACCCATTACCATCAATAGCATCGTTTTATCATCATCTTCAGTAGGAAAGTATGCCATCCTTCCAACCTTCCAAGGTATTCAAAATACTAGAGTACGGGTTACTTCATAGAAGTTACTCTACCGTATTGAGGAGTTGCCTCCCATGAAATGGAAATCCACCCCATCAAAGCGGGTCCGACCACTATGACGAGGGTCTCTTTTCAACTAAAAACGACTTTCTTGAAGAAGGCTTTATCTGTTTCATTTACGTACTCCACACAAAAAACGACCCAAG